CAGCCTTTTAATATCAAAGCACGATATGCTGTGAAACTGTCCTATAGTGTCATGAATCTCTTACCGAAGCCCGCCAAGAACTGTTAAGGATATCATACGGCTTTGTCGACCTATCCTTACCTGCTGTGCTGTAGTCCTGACATTATATTATGTGGATGTAACAGTAGTCACTTTCTTTTTTTGTAACGGAAAATACAGCTGCATGCAAAAATTAATAAATGTGTATCATTGTTATGAATTGATGTGAAACCATTGTTATTGCTATGGTAAAGATGATAATGTTGAGCACCAACAATAATTTGTCTTGCTTAGGATTATTTATGCAATTACGAGTTAACCCTGATATAACCATTGTAGTGTGACACCATTCTCGCTGGTGATAGTCCTTTGGCATTTCAAGTCAGTTGTTACCAGTCATTCATAAATTTTAAGCTGTAATCTCATAGACTTGATAAAGAGTATTCAACCAATGTGGTACATTGTGTATGTCACGTGTCAGCATCATGGTGGCACTACCTCAGTGCTGTACTGCAGCATGGCATGAACAATGATATGGTTTCTGTACTGCAATCCTTGCTGCTTTCATTGTAAATTATATCATAAAAAGAAGGGTTAAGTGTTCATTCTTGTATTAACTCCGCAGCTGACGTATGACTGAACAAAAAAGCATGATATAACATACAAATCACTTTCAGCAAAGCACGCAACCAATAAGTGACATGTCTTGCTCAGCCGGTTTTGGGAATCTGCAAAATATAGGTGACAAAAATGCAAACATGTCTTCCGCTTCCACAGCCTGACATGCTGCAGCCATCATGCTGTTTCACTAGAAAATAATAAGAAACAATTACATGCAATGATATGCGACTGCAAACCTGCTAACCTTGCACAAGGCTGGACACGTGACAAGTGCATGTAGCTATGGTTAGATGGGCAAAATGCAAAAAAGAGATGAAGCCGCCAGAACATGCAAGACTCATGATAAAGATAGTACTGAGTGTTATCCAAGAAACCAACAGCAATACTTTTCCACCTTTTTCAGCATCTCACGTAGGTTGCAGTGACTAAGGCATTGGTGACTCACAAGCAATGCTTGCCTGCATACAAAATCCAGAGTTCTTAAGGGAAAGGCAATTTTGTAGAGCTGCATCATCTGAGCTTATACCAAGCATGCGCGTTAATGAACTGCGCAGACCAGCATGTACTGCCAAAATGAGCTGCTAATATAATGGCAGGCAATGGATGAATTATACGCTGCAATATTTCAATAGCTTCAAAATGTTGGCAAGATCATAATGAAGTAGCAAACTGCCTTCGTATGTTTTTTATGCCAATTATTTGTCATGACCATGGGCTTTTCCGCCTCGAAACGTCCATTTCGGCAAGGTTAGGGTGACCTGTACTCATCGCCAGACCAACAGCAGATACACGTGCTGGAGAGGAGAGATCAACGTGGCAGCAGTGACTGAATGGTATGCCTTACCAATGCTATCTAATCTTCGTATATGCATATGGTGTGAAATTACACCCGACGGCACTATGGTACATCCCGGAGAAAGAGAGCCCGGTGGCCGTTGGTACATAAGGGCCACGTGAGCTCTGTTACCAGGACGTTTGTCAGCACCAATCATGGCCCAGTATTCGTGCTACGTCACGTCACGTGACCACGAAGTCACCAAGCCTGCTACGTCACGCGCCGGCTGACGATGATGCCAGGATTTTTTTTGTCAGCCTGTCAACATGGGAAAAAACGCTACCACATTAAAAAATCACTTTGGCTAAAGCGGTAGTATGATTTGATAGCCCTTCCGTTGGCGAGTACTGCCGTTAGGTGGGGTGGGGGGCACTTTCCTCTAATTTAGGGGGAATGCGACGTAAGATAGATAAGGAGGGAATTGATATGCCGTGAGAAGATGAGTGACAGTGATTGGTGTGGTGTGTGGTTGCGTCGCCTTGTAAATTAATAGCGTTATAAGTAAGGATTTAAAATTAGGGGGACGAAATTTAAACGGATTGCGCATGGAAAAAGCACTCAACATGCGGATGGGATAGATGATGGTATTACCGGAATAGGAGCCAAACTTCCAAACACCACTTTGTACGTAGCGTGTCACGGCCGGCGGTAAGCCAGGGTTAATGTGCAGACTGAAGTAAAAGGCAAAAGAAGGAGGAAAGTAAACTTAAAACCTTTCCTTTCATCCCAGTTATCGAACGCGCTGTCAGCACGCGCGACGTCACGCATTCCAGCTGACAATTGTGCTGGCGGCAGATCAACGGAGCCATATAACTTGCTGCCATGTCGAAGTGACAAAACTGTGAAATCCAGTTTCGGTAAAGGCATGGCCATGCTTTGCGCTATGATGAAAGGGGTGCTTCGTGTCAGTTTTTGGCCGGTGTTAACGCTACTCGTGCTGTCATGATCAAATAGCACCCTCAGGGAGGGGAAACTGGCAGCACTTCCCCAACATGTGAGATTTTAAGATTGTCCGCGACGAAACATTCAAGTTGTTGCGGGCAACAACTTGAACTTAACTCTTCTTGCTGGTTAAAGTTTTTCTGTGTTTGATTATAATTGGGATTGGTGGACCAAATATACGCTAAATGTGCCTTGCAGGTATGCGTGTTTAAAGGAGCTGGAGAGAGTGGTGAATATTAAATCATCAGTGCAATGAGTTATCCAGCAGCGATGGGGAAAAGGCGCAGCATTGCTAACAAGCCGCAACTATCTTCCAAACGTCATCGATGTGTGAACAAATTACATAGGTCCTGCTGTGTGTACTCATATGAAACAGCATTACCTTTGTAGCGTGTCAAATACCCGT